AGGAGAGCAAAGCTTTAGGAACCTGCTGATGCTGAAAGAGATCTAGGAGGGAGGGTGAAAACAAATTAATTGGGATCATTTTTGTCTGATTAAACATGTCACCTTAGTTTTAATTGCCTTATGGAAAGGAGTCATGTTTTGGGACAGGTAAACTTTTTTTTTTTTTTTTTTCCCCTTCCTTATGCAACAAATGACAAATTCACAAAATTCAATTCCTCCAGAATCTGGCATGACACTGTCCAAAAACCTGCATTGTTTTGACATCAGATGGCTAAATGGAAAGACTAGATTTAGTTAGTATCGAGTGTGAAAAGTGAATAGTGATTTGGAAAAGTAGATACATGAGATGATTGAAAGATGAATATTCCCTGATTGGCTAACTTGGTTATGAGGAGAAGTGTAATATACTGCAGTGTAATTCAGGCTCAAAAGGCTAGAGAGGCAAGTTTCCATGTCCTTGCCTTCCACCTTTCCTAAGTGTATAGGGAAACTTCTTCAGATAACGAAGCAGAGTAAAATGGGAGATGGGAGGGAAGACAGGTGAAATGCCACTACCTAGAATTTTTGAATGAGGCTGAATATAAACCAGCAAACTTATCAATGGACTCTGAAAGAAACTCTGTGGAGATAACAGCATAGAGTGCTCTGAAACTGCTGCAAACCAGTCCTTCTTTTGATTTCTGGGGGAGCAAAAATTGTCACTCAGTTCTCAGCTTTTGAGTAGGAGGGCATACGTGACCCTGTCTTTTCCGTGGGGTCTTCTAAAGTACTTGCAGTCTCTCTAGCTAAATTTGATTAAGCACGATGAAGTGGAGGTCACTTACATATCTGGTCTCATTTCAGGTGTTTGAGAATAACTACCTTCTTCCCAGGTTGTGGGATATAATTTTAACTAGCTGGCCATTTCCAGCTTTGTGAGTGAAACAACAAGTCAGTGAGGAGTTTTGAATTGCATTCTGCCCACAAAGCCATGTCCCCAGTCAGCTCTATTAGGCTTGCAGTAGCTCAATGCCTCTTGCTTTGCGCTCCGAAACATCCCTGCTTAGGAGGCAGCTGTCGTGGTGCCCGTGATGGACTTCAGATACTGGGGGGAGAGAGACCTTGAATACAGAAGCTGTGCCTTGTGAGAAATAATGTGATTCCCAAAATGTTTTCTGGTGCCAGATGTAGTCAGCTGTGTTTATATCTGTTGAAACTTTTATGATGGTAGGTGGCTTAATTTTTAGGCAGGATTTTCAGTAGTCAAGACTGAATGAAACAAGCCTAGCTGAACTGGTTTGGATCAAATCAAATAGTGCAGGTTTTGGGTGTCTGTCAGATGTAGATAAGTGTTCTTTGGCTCGACAGCACTGAGATCAAATGATTTGAGGATGCATACTGTTTTGTTTTTTAATTGCCAGATAGATGTCTTCATTTTCATGAGCATGTCAGCTGCTTGTTTATGTCAGGCTAGGAGGAGAAGGGAGTGAGAAGATTTGCTCTAAAGAGAAAGAGTCAGTGCTGATGGGGGCCCCAGAAGTAATAACTGGTTTTAATTTTTCAGAAAAACAAGGTGAATTCTAGTCACTCAGAATGAAGTATGGTTTTCTGATCTATCTTAATTAGGATCGAATTGCACAGTACCAACTTTGCAAATATTGTCTTGTCAGCTGTTCTCTTGCTAACTGTCTAGAAGAACAATACCAAAAAAACAAAGGAAAAATCAGCCTGTTCAGTATGAAATATTTCCTTATACGCTATACTTTCAGATTCTGTCTGATCAATACCATTTGGAAGATGTATTGGAACGATCTGATCAGGTTATGGCCGTGGCAAAAGACTTGTTTGGGGATGCTCCTCGCACACGAACAGGTAGACCATCTTGTTTATATGTGGTAGTACATTTAAGACTGTCTCCTTGCTTTTCATGAATAGTCTTGCTTTTCAAAGTGTTCTTTTTAACTGTTTTCATCCTATTGTCTAACATAGTACAATTGGTCCTGTTCATGTTGGATGAAACACAGATGAGGGTAACACCTCCCGTGGCAGGGGAGAGCAACTCGTGGCCGGTTATTGTACTGTATCGGTCCATTGTGGAATTTTGGATTGCTTATTGTGCAACACCTCATGCTCCCCATTTCCGCCACCAAGCTGCTGGCCTATACAGAGCACCAGTTCAAGCCACTGTAGTAGTTCTGGCTCTCATTGCTGCGTGGGTTGACTGCTTGCTCTTGGACATTGTTGATTTATCAGCAATTCATGAACAAGGCTTTTCCTTTTCATACCTTCTTTTGTGGATCCTTGTGCTGCTGGAAGGCAGGACTGTCTGTTTGCATGTGAAATCTTAAAGTTAGATTCTTTTTTCTGTAGGCTGCCGTTCTCTTTTGCTTATAATGACTGTTCCATCCTACATGCTGCTTCTGTGCAAGTGTATTTACGCAGGCGAGAAGGACAAAGCCTGGTACATGGCTGAATGTATTAAGATAACTCTATGGTTGGCCTTTGGCAGTTGTTTAAAGCGACGTACATCCCTGTGACCCTCTTTGTGCAAAGTACAGGAACTTATTTTTTGGTACAAAGTCCTGCAACATACTACAGACAGTCCTCTGTGTTCTTCCCTGTTTTGTGTGATTCCTCTAGGTTTCCCTAATGTAACAATGGCTCCTAACTGTGACCTAGAATCATCTCAAGGACCCATTGTACAAAAATGTGATCCTCCCACTCAGCTTTCCATCCTTAGTGAATCTGTCATGGATTCCCAGGTAATGTATGTTCTGTTCCATGCATGTCCTGTGTCTTTTTTGTTTGCACAAAATAAGAATATTCAAAGGTAGAGTTTCCAAGCAGACCTAAACCTGTCTTTTGTGTATTGTGTACCATGTTGATAACATACGTAGAAAATGGTGTTAAATGGAGATGAATTTGTTTCGTGAGACTCTGGGAATCATGATTTTTTTGGTTTCTTAACATTTGAAGATGAGAAACAAACATGTCTCATAGAAGCATTCTCATATTAGTATGTTCTTCCTTTTAAATTCTGGAATTATCAGCAAGAGAACCAAGTAATTGCAGACTATGAAAACAACTCCTGTGTCCCTTAACTAATTGCTACATATTAAAATACGCCTCTGATTTTCTAATTATGTCTGCCTATATAGGGACATAGCCAGTTGGGCTCCAGTTTATTTCCAGTAGCATGCATGTAAATGTACCCCAGTTTACTCCACAGCCTTGATTAGTCCTACAAGTTTAACTTTTAATACTTCACATTCTTTTGCAATTATTTAGATTAATTTTAAAAGTTTAATATAGTTTACATTTGTTTAAAATTTCATTTAGATTGCCTTTGTGTTCTGTTTTCTTTTCATAACGTGAGTTGTACCAGGAATGCTCACGGTGGTTCAAGAGCAGGCATATGACACTCCCAGAAAGCAGCTCACTGATGAAGACCAAAAGGGCTGTGGGAGTGAAAGTGATGGTTCTCTGATCCTGTTTCCTACTATCTTGCACAAATGTCTATGATTTGAGTTGCAATACTGCTCTGTCTTGTATTTTGATGTGATATTTGGGTTTGGTGTTTTTTTAATATGAAGAGTTAACTGTAGCATCTTTGTAAGCAGTATCACTGGATGCATGCTGCAGGATAGGCTTAAATTTTTAAAAATTACTGACAGTTGTCTGCTGAGCTTCTGTGAGATTTTCTTTTCTTTATGTGCCTACAGAATCATAGTTAAAGGTTATCTGGTGAAGCCTAACCAGAAGTGCAGAAACCCGATAGTTGGAGGAACCCTAATTCTAAATCTGATTGCTTGTTTTGCTAGGAATGTGGCATGTAGGACTGTATTTTGTGCTGGTTGCATTTTACATATAGAATATAAATATAATTTTGCAGATCTCATTACAAGATTGTTTGGCTTGTAATGTCAAATGGCTGACATTTTAGAAATGCTATAATTTAGGTTGCTTTTTCCATCTTCTGCCTGCTATATGTCTGTATTTGGTTTGGTACAGTCTTTAAAGCTTTTTTTTTTTATCCTACACTGAGTGTGGTCTTATTTAATATAAATCATCTAAATAAACCATTGGATATTGAATTAATCACTTGCTGTGTTCTTTTTGGAGGCAGCTGTCAGTATCAATATTTCTTAGGTGCTAAAATCCCCCAAAACTCTTTGCACAGAGGTTTGTGTTTTTCTTTCCTTTTTTTTTTTTAAAAAAAATTGGTTTGGAGGTAAAGACTGAAACAAAAGGTTTTCTTTTTTTTTCTTGAAACAGTTTCAGAAAATTGATCTCTAACTTCTTCCTAAAGACACATTGACATTGCTCTGAAGTCCCTTTTGTTTTCTTTGTTGTTTACTAAAAAGACTCTTAATGAAGTGGAAGAGGAAGGCTTATCAATCTATCAAACTGAAGATGGACACCATGACTCTCTGAATTTCAAATCCAGCATCAATTGTGACAGGTCAGTACAAATATATCCACCTTCTTAACACTTAAAATAGACGGAGTTAAAAGGGTTTTGCATGGGAATGGTTCTTTTTCTGTTTCACCCCAGCTCCTTTCCTGACCTCAGAATTCTAGGGGTGTTGTAACATTCAGACTGGGAATGAATATGAGCAGGGAACTCCCCTGAGCAGTTACAGATATTTTAAAAAGCTCTTTCTAGGCTGTACAGATAAGCTAGAATGATCTATTATCCTATTACAATTCACTGTTATGCCTGTTTTGAATGTAGGCTACTCCGGTTATTGAGAGAAGAAAATTCCTTGGTGAATTCTCAGTTGTGGGCTGAAAAGGATGTGAGAAAAACTACTTTATCACAGGAATCAAATGTGCCTTTGACTCCAACAGCTGTTTCTCCATCATTGGATCAGTCAGGTTGGACTTGCCAAATCACAGCCTCTCAAGGGTTGTTAGGCTGTTCACAGGATCCTGTCTGGAATTCCTTTTCTGGGTGGGGGCGACAGGCAGAGACAATTTGGCTCAGATTAATTTCCAAACTAAAAAGCCAGCTCTTCTAATAAAATTACTTCATAACATGTTACTATTAAGAACATACCCAAAAGATTTCATGTATGTATTTTTTGCTCTGTTTTGTGTTTAATTCAGCCCTCAATGCTACCAATGTAGTCAAGAGAACCCATTCAAGACTTTGGAATGAAGACGAAGAAGAGGCTGTAGACTCCACTTACACTGTGAGACAAGTGCTGAACCCGAACTCAAGGAAACAAAAGCAAATTGCAGGAAAAAGTTTAGTACTTTTAAAAATAACATACCTCCCTTTGACCAAGGTCCTTAATATCCTAAGAAAACGTAGGTTGAAAGTGATCTTTGGAAGTTGTTGCAGGGCTAACTACAAAGTTTGGTTATGGAGGGCCTCGTCCAGCCAAGTCTTGAGCACCTCTAAGGACAGACATTCCACAGCCCAGTCGTGTAGTGTATTCCCCTGCATTCTGCACGTTTGTTGGCAAAGTCCGTGGGAATCTGAGAACCATAAACATGGCCCTTTGATGCTACCTGTTAAGTTGCTAGCCGTGGGGTTGTCTCTTGCGCCGGGCTTTTCCATTTCTGATACAGCTTTCGATTCTGTGCTGCACAGATATATGATGCGTTTCAGTCCCTGTATCCTACACGCATTTGTACGTGGGGACTGACATCAGATACGAACTGTGACGTGAAAGGATTGTTGTAAAAGAGTTGCTCGCTAAATATGAGACCTGAAAGCAGCTGATATTTTTCACTAAGTGTTCACTGGCAAACTTTTTCCATGCTTTTAACTGAGAAGGAGGAAAGTATAAACAGGTATCTAAGCTAAAAGCACCAAACAATCATACTTGAAAGGTAGTAATGTGGTGGCAGAAAATGTGGGTTTTGATGATCTGAAAATAACTGGAGTGACTGGGGATGTTCTTTGATGGTCCGTTTCAGCCCAGGGCAAGAGAGGGCTCCTCCTTTGATTTACTTCAATAAAAAATGTCACTTCATTGGTTCTGCAAACCTTTCTATACAAGTTGAAATTCCAAAAACACTTTTTCCCCCCCTCCCCGCCCAGTGAAAAGAAAACAAACTGCACAGAGCTCCACAAGACAGAGGAGAGATGATTCTCCAGCTAATTCAATCCCTGTTGACCTTCGGAGGGACAACAAATCCAGCCTAGACGTTCTCAACCGCATGATACATGAAGTGGAGCATGAATTGGAGGAATATGAGCGATGTACAGGTCGTGAAGTTCAAAAAACTGAGAGAAGTGAAGGCCTCACCGGGTTTACCTTGTCACTGGTGAATGCTCTATGTCGTTTGATGCGCTACCTCAAAGAGGTGAGAAGACTTTGAATTGCTTCTGTAGAGTGAAGAAAGAGGGGTATAAAGTTAATTTGCAGATGTGAACTTTGGTCTTTCCTGGCTCCCGATCGCTTTACTTTGAAGTCTCCTTATCATTGCTTGTTATTTGGATTGCATGCAATTAGGAGTTAAATCTTTTAGTTTGTTAGAAACAGGTATTCCTAGTGAAAAGGGAGGAGTCAACTGCAGTTAAAGTCTCTCAGTGACTGTTACCAGAAAATACCAATTGAAATAATTTTAAATATGTTCAGAGTTGTAGCAGGGTATTACCTGCAGCCTTGTTTACAAATTCTTTTTCTTCCTTTGCCTCCCAAAGGTGACGCTATAATTACTAAAGCAGTGCATCCAAATAGCTAATTTTTTTGAGGGATTCCTTAGCTTTCTTTTTCTATCCATAGCAGCAACTTCACCTTAAGCAGAAATGACCTGAAGTGCTCACTATAGCAGTGCACAACTTGGGATCAGTGCAATTCTATAAAGACTTACCTGTAAGCCATGTAGAACTTCTTAAAAAAAGAAATAATAAAAAAAAAAAGTGTGTTTTATTTCATCTCTAACCCAGAGCTATTCAATATGCAGCAGTGGCTCACAGTTTCATTTGGCCTACATGAAATTTTGAACCAGATTTATGTCAGTTCCTGCAGTCTTAATAGGTGCAGCAGAATATATTATCTAAATCCCAATGCACCATTTCATAGCAAAAGCAATAGATTGCTAATGAATGTGGAACTGACCTATTTTGGTTCCTTTTCAGAGTGTATAATATTTGGGGGAAAAAAACTCAGCTTATTTTAAAATTTGATTAGATTTTTTTTGTCTGGATATATAACAACTTATTCCTTGTATTGCCTTGTATTTAGTGTATATGGAAGAATTTACTTTAAGACCTGTCTCGGAAGCAAATGGTCAGTAATCAATTCAAGAGTGCAAAGCCACTACCATCAGAAGATGGACTTTGGCTGAGAAGATCTTACATTTTAAAAGAATGCTTGTTCTCTGTTAAAGTTGTAATACCAAAGCAGGGTATTAAATCTGGTTCTCTTGCAGTTACGGGGAAGGATCTTTTGGTCTTCCAATAGAATGTTTTCCATTTATTAGAAAAACATCGATTTAATAGCATCAAATTAATATTATAAATATATTATAACCCTAATTAGACTGTCATTTCTGCGGAGTACAAACTAAAGAGTTATTCTTGCCCCTCAGGCTTTTTCGAAAACTACTCCAGATTTTCTTTGCAATTTTCTTTCTTACTTGCTACTTTCTCTTTATGAATGTAACATTCGAAATATCTTAAGAGTTTTTGTCCTATTCAGATAGAAGGCCAAGGAGTCTGAGTGTTTAAGGAGACTACTTATTTTGAAAGATGTAAGCTGACTGTTACTTGTATTCCCAGTTATTCCCAGGGCACCTCTATGATGATGTTTCTACATGTCATCATTCCTTCCTACAAAGTGTGCTTAATCGTATTCAGAGTTGTTTGATATAGAGAGCGTCCATCCATAATCTTCCGTGAATTTTCCACTTTTCATGGAGCTTTATTTACAATTAGGATTTGAGAATTTGCTGTGAAGAATCGCAGTTTGTCTGAGTATTTCCTGAAACCTGGTCCCTGTGATGCTAGGAATAAATGGAGTGCTCATGTGCACCATCTGTCTTGCCTAGCCAGGAGAGTTAGCAAAGTCCCAATGCCTGAATTACAGCTGGCAATGCATTTCAAGAAAGTGACTTTGCAGCGGAAGTTTAAAAAGCCTCTGATTTTAGGTAAACAACCAGCCTTCAAGAGGTTTTGAAGCTTGTAGAAAGATTTCCTTCCTCTTCCAGGAAGAAGAAAATATTTTCCAGCTTTTACTGCAGAATAGCTGAGTGCAGAAGAATTACGATAACGGATGTTGCTTAATTTATTTTCAAAATTATATATAAAAAGTGGGAAGAGAAACTTGAATTACTGAATAATGAAAGTTGCATTAGTAAGTGACTGAAAAAAAATCAGCTGCTACAAGAAGAAGCTAGTGAATATAGAGCAGGCTAGAGAGAAGGGGAAAGAGAAACTTCTGAAATGTTTGCCAAGCTATACAAAATTCTTAAAGGGAAGTGGATGAACCTGACTTGGTTCCTAAATGAATTTTAATGTCATCTGCCAAATGTTAAAATTAATTTTTTTTTCCCCTCATTCCACTAAGAATGCTATTTCTTTGCCAGACTCACAGGACAAAAAGTCAGAGTACAGGCATCCTACATTAATCTGTGTTGCTATGTTCTCTAGCTCTGCTTCTGCATATTCTGACACAATGTTAAAACAAAGCTCAGGAGATTAGAGGCAATAGGCTGGAATGAAGATACTTCTTTCAGAGTATAACAGACCCAAGTCCTGCCTGATGGTAGGAATGGATCTATCCAGCTCTTAACCCTGATGCTTTCCCCATGCGTAAACGTAAGACACGTAGCTGCTTGGAAGCTTTTTCCTCCAAGACAAGGTTAACGCTGTAGAGGATGGGGAGTTGCAATAGGTCATCCAGATGATCTAAGGCATCAATAGGCTTCATCACTGCTACCAGGGTTAAAGTTCTTATTATGGGCTGTCTGTGGTTTCTACAAAGATAGGACTGCCTACATTTTTTCCATTTTCTGTGCCAGCCTGCTTCGCTTGGATCAATACAAAAAAACCTGTTCTCTCTAGGTGGAAGAGAACCAGAAAATGGATGGCTTGTCTCCGATATGCTTAAAGGACACATATCTGCCTGTCTTTGTGTCTAGTGACAGTATCTGTGGTTTAGTCTCAAAATTATGTATTTTTTCATTTGCTTTATGTGGCTGCAGAGCTGTTGTGTCTTAACACTTCTTCCTTGGTGGTTTTTCTCTTCTGGTCCCAATGCCAGCAGAAAAATAATCTACGTTATGTTGTGGGCAGCTCATGCTCTAATTTTGTCTGTGCAGCAGAAAAGAGTACACCAAATGATTTTGAGGATCTCTTGTGTTTTGGAGATGGGATGTATTTCTCTCATTCAGGGATTCCTTTGAGCAAATTCAGGCAACCATCTGGGGAAGGGCTCCATCTGCTAATTCTGATGTGCTTATGTGACTTTGTAGCCTCTGCTCTTTTAGCGACGATGGTCCAAAAAGTGACAGATGTGTATTCTGTTTACCCATTAAAGGTGGAAGGGACTCTTCTGTCTTCTACAGGAAGCCTGGCTACTGCAGTGGTCTGTCTTAAAATAACAGATTGATAGTATCTTTTGAGGGCAAGAGGTTCTACAGTAAGGTCTTTTGCCTCATGCTCAAGTAGTTACTTAACCAATAAACCTTTTTGTCTTTTTTTTTTTTTTTTAAAAAAAAGAAATGCTCTAGAACTTTTTCTCCCTCTGAGGGAAAACGTTAGATAGGAACTACTTTCTCCTTTATTTAGTCAAATTTGTCTTCATTAATGAATTAAGGAAACTAAAGAATAGGCACAAGTAGCACAGGATATTGACAAGCATCAGCACACCTGGAGTTACTTGATTACTGCATGAAGATTCAGTGACTTACAAAATGGTATCCATGTGGAGAGACAGCGCTTGTAGTTACAGCCTGTAAAAGTTGTAAAGGCAGAAGAACAAGGTTGTGTAGGATTCCCTACAGTATTCTGGAGTAACAAATAAGGAACGGTGAGCTCTCTTTGACAGTTCTGAAGTCCTGAAAATTGGATTTTATTGTGAAAGCAGTGAAGTCAGTTTAGCAAAAGGGAGAAGAGCTGTTGCAGTATGGTGTGATATGCACCTGTTCCAGTTTCCAAATGTGAATCTGCATTGGTTATAGTAGGCTTTTAACTTTTTCTCCCTCTTTAGAGTGAAGTGCAGCTGCGTGAGAAAGAGGTGATGAGACAGCAGCATGAGGAGATGTTGAATGAACACAGAGAACTGATTGATGCTCTGACTGCAGAAATACTTCTAGTGAGGGAAGAAAACACTGCTATACAGGTACTGAGCTCCCGTCCCCCTTAGAATGACTTGTTAGAATACTGAGTTTTGTTGCAAATGTGTGCTGAGATGCATCGTCGTACGTTCACGTTCAATGGTTACATTTGGGAATGAAGCAATAAAGCTGCATTGGAGAGGAAGTGGGGTGATGAGTTAGGGAAAGGGAAAACCAAATCATTTCTTTGAGGCAGGAGGGAAAATAAATTAGAAGCATGGAGACACCAATATGTAATATCTCCCTGGAATACCACAGATTCATGCAGTGGTATTAAGAGACCAAATTTCTTCTCAGAGCTGCTTGTGGTATATAATTTAATTCCTGTTGTTAGAACACAGATTTCTGTATCTTTTGTTTTTCCTTCGTCCTTTAGAAGAAGCTTCAGCAATACATGACGGCAACAGATGAACAGCTGATCTCTCTCACGCAAGCATTTAAAGGCCTCCCTTTGGTAGAACCTAGAAGAGAACAAAGTCCAAACCATTTTGGAGGAATTGCAAGCAAAGGTCTCGTGAATGGCCAAGGTGTGTGCATGCATGTATGAAGGATGAAATGGGAGTTGGGGCTAATTTCTCCCTGTAGTGGAAGATTTGGTATTTAATAGACAGATTATTTTTTAACAGTATTACAGGAATTCTATCCCCACTGGCATCCCCCTGTCTGGATCAGGACTACAAGATTAACCTTTTAGTCAAGTCCTGGCTTGAGCTTTAAATGATACATAATTTTTTTTTTTTTTTAATTATAATCATTCATATTTTTTAAAAAAAGGGGGGGAGAGTAGCCAGCCCCCCCTTAAGATGCCTTACAAAGATTTATTTTGAGGGTCCTAAAAAAGCCCAAACAAATTCCCTGGCTGAATCAGGATCACACCTTTGTGTTACTGAAGCCGCCTGGCAGTATGAGATTGGTTCTTCCGTACGACACTGGAGGTCGCTGCTGTCCAGAAATAGCAGCTGCTCAGGCGTGTTATCTAACCGGGCAGAAGCCTGTGTCTTGGTATTGGTGGTTTTGTAACAGGGGTGAACGACTAGTTGAGTGACATGTAACATAGAAGCAGGCTAAGTTAAGCCAGTAGCATCGATGGTCAAACTAACCAAACGTGATTCACTTTGTACTTTTTACCTTCATTCACCGTGGAGTTTTCTCCCAACTGTCTTCTCCAATTGGTTGCTTAAACGCATTGGTTTTGCTCTCAAGGTCACTAACTCCTTGTGAATCCCCAGACTGCTTGCAGCTATTTGTATTCCTTAGCTACATGTTGGTTTTGTGGACATTTTTGTGGTCAAGAGCTTTCTTCCTGACTGTTTCTATGGTGTTCTCAGGAAGAATCACAGAATGTTAGGGGTTGGAAGGGACCTCAAAAGATCATCCAGT